TGCTGTCTGATACCTAATTTCGGTGGAAATCGCCAGCTGGCTCAATTTTGAATGGTGTAGTATCAGTCATACAAGGATGTTGGGTTTATTTTCATGCAAAGAACAGACTTACACTTAAAAACTTCATCCTGAAGTAAGCAAACCAGGGACAGATGAAGACCAAGTCCTAAAGATGCCCTTGCTTCAGAAAGAAAAGAAAATCATGACAGTCTTAGATGCTTTGGAAACATTCATGAAAACCAAAGAGAGGCTTGGTGGCATCTTCGGATGAAGCAAGGATGCGAGGCAATCTGGGGTGTCTGGCAGCATTGTTAGATGTACAGTTGCCTTCAGAGGACCTCCAGCAAATTTCTTCTCTTGCTCCCAAAGAATTTCACCTGCAAGTTCCCACAGGCAGAGCAATGTCCTCTTCAAATAAATATTGTGCTGTGCCCTGTTCAGTAGTTGGGCATGATGAGATAGAAGTAGCTCAGCTTCTTGACTGGCCTCCATCTTCCCTGGCCTCCAGCCTGGGATTTAGTGAGAAGGTAAATGCTGGTTTCTCCAAGACTCTTTTTCAGAGATCACCTTCTTGCATAGCTTATCTGGATCTATAAAGTCTTAAGCAATAAACCTAAACTCAAAGTGCCTGCGCAACACACTCAGCCATCAGGAGTGATGGGATCACTGTCACTTTGATGTGATTTTTGTTGTTGTTCTGTTTTCTTCTGTATTGACCCTGTGGTTGTTTCCAAGTAGGAAGCATTTCTGTTGGTGAAGCATTGTCTGTGCTGATGAAATTAGGTATTTTCCATTCTCCGTAGGAAGAGTTCCAAGGGATTACTTGAAAGAGGCTACTTATAGCAGAAACTGGGGTCTTTGATCTCCAGATTTCTGTTGCTCAGTTCTTGGCATATAGTGGAGTTTAATAAACCCTTTCGAATAAATAAGTATATAAAATGTCCTTTATTATGCTCCCACTCAGTAGCACAGAATAATGAGAATGAGTTTGGCAAATTATGAGTAGACTCTTGTTATATTGTGTTTTTCTGCGGATACTCTCTCAACTCACAGTGTCTACAAGTCAGAAAAATAGGCATAGGATGTGTAATTGTTGGTTAACTAGTTTGTTTTGACCTCATCACGTGGAAGTTTTTTGCTTACATTTTCATGGAAATTAGGGTTTTGTAATATCAGTGTCATGTCAAGCCTGAATTTTCTATTGCAAGTACAAGAACAGGATGGAAAAATGACTCTCAATTTGGTGGGCTTTTAAAATCCCACCTTTTTTTCTTCTCCATTTCTGTTTTTCTTAACTTTTAGGTGTTTGTGTGTGTTGTAGTATTTGATCATCAAAACTCACACTTGATCTCAAGTACTTTTTTCCTGAACCAAGTACCAAATAGTAGAACCTTTCAGCTAATACTTATTAAGATTTACCTTATTAGTTTTGATCTTGCTAAAGAATGACCTCTATTTTTTTTTTGTAGTACTGGGGATCAAACCCAAGCCTTCACATACGCTAAACAAGCACTCTACTACTGAACTACTGCTTTGAACCCATTGTTAAAATTTTATGTACCATAACACAGAGAAGGCAAATACACATACTGGGATCAAACTGAACCTGAGAAAACCATTTCTAGCTTTTGTGATGGAATTAATTTGTCACTATTTCAAAGGACCCTGCCCAAACTGCTGTGATTCCCCAGGTAAGCCACAGAACTACTGGTATAGTGAGGGGTCTTGGTCCCATTTGCTAATCAATTCCATTGACATGTTCTAATCTAATTTGTCCCTCTGTCTGACAGAAAGATCATTGTGGAAGCACACACTGTTTCTACCTACCACTCATGTGGAAACCCAGACCCTGAGCTTCTGCTTCCTTGGTGCTAGTCATGTGGTTGATAGTATTCTCTGTGAGCACACAACCTGAGCAGATTTCACTTGCTTCTCTAGAATACGGTGTAAAGGAAAAATCAAAAAAGGATCATACCAGGACCCTTGAGTGTGGTTGTTTATCTAGAAGAGAAATGATGCCTCTTAACTTCTTATCATCCATTCATGGCATAAGCCTTTGGTTTGTGTCTACCTTGAGCAGGTCAACCTGGTTGTGATCCACGAACATCAGCTTCTGCTGTGTGATCCAGCAGGAAGCAAAACTGCCCACCTGTGGTTTGCAACTGATAGGAGCTCCAATTTCCAAAAGAGGAAACTGAGGCACAGTACTGAGCAATGACAGACCAACGACAGGTTCCTTTAGGAGCTTTAAAATGATTTCACTGTCATTTCCTTAACAAAAAATACCTTTAAAAATTTCTGGCTTTGGAGATTGAATGTGGATCTTGTTTTTGTTTGTTTGTTTTGTTTTGTTTCTCATGTTGCTCAGTTGTCAGCCCCACTTGGATGCAATGTGTTTTTGGTTGAGAAAGTTATTTCTTTGCTTTCAAAAACACTTAAATGCTGGATGGTTTTCACAAAGGGGCAATGATCCTAAACTATGCCTTCTGCTTACCAAACTAAATTAGTTTATCTTTACATCTATGGTAAATATTTTGACCTTGAGGATAAGAATCTCTGTCTTTTCGCTAAGAACTCTATTAAATTCCTGGGAAAAATGCATCAATTTTTAATATACTGATGCTCTTAGGTTCTGCAAAAAATGTTAAAAAGTTAGAAGAGATAATCAGAGCATTTGATACATTCTCCATCTTTTTTTGCTTTCCAATAATTCACACACACACACACACACACACACACACACACACACACACACACACACACACCAATATAGTAATGTGGTAGATGGTAGATGGTAGATGGCACAGTCATTTTTGGTAAAGCATGCCCGGAAGAGCAGAACCAAGATCCAAACCCCTATAAAGGGACATCAAGTTTTTTTTTTTTAGGTATACCACAAGTGACATTATTGAAACCATATTGCAGGGAGTGGACAAAGAGGACCAAATGGTCCCTACCTTTTGTCTTTCAGATTGCCAGAAGGACAAATCAAAACCAGAGTGGAATGGCTTCATGTCTGACTTTTGTGATTATTCTTGTGTTTATGTCCTGTCAAAGTCAATATCTGTTTGTGGGACCCATGTAAAATCCTTACTACTATTCACAATTCCTGCCTTTATCCATAGATTTCATGGTTTGGCTTTAATGTTCCATAATCACGGGCCAAGATCTCATCATTAACATGTTCTTAGTCTGTTGTACAGGACCCATTGATACATGGGTTTGAGAGGAGCCAATCTCTCTCCCAAGTACAGAGCAGAACACCTGCATAAGGTATTGACAAGACAACCCGAAAGTCTTCTGCCTTAGCAACAATTGCTATTGAGAAGACTGAGGAAGAATATTAGGGCTGATTCCATGTAGATATTTACACAGCATATTTTGAGGGTTACATAGCAACCATGCACAACCAGTGCTCAGCTGTATTTGGGACCGCAGTACTGTGGTGTGGTCATTTGGTTAGTGCACCCCAAGCCTAACAATCTCTTCCAGTTTTCCATCTCCTAAGGGATCACTGGCTGGCTTGTGCTTAATATTACCACTTCTTTACTAGGGCAGTGTTCTCCAAGCTATTAGCTTATACTTCATGGTGTGGTTCTAGTATTTTCACCAAAAATATCCAGGGGAGTGAAACTGGATGGATTTCGCCTATTTGCATATCAATAGCTATAATTTACTTTTTAAAAAAAATTCTGGATCCCAGATGCAATTCATCAAGCTAGCATGGTTTCCAGTAGAGGTAGACATCCCCTCCTACCATGGAAGCTAGCAGGAATTGCTTCGCACTGACATATAGTACTGGTTTCTGGGCATGATTTCCGGCCCATCATGCAAATTACAGAGTGGGGAGACAGGACAGTGAGAGAGTAAGCAGGTAAGTCTTTAAGTCACAACTCACCAGAGTAGAACAGACTGCCCTGGACAGGTGACTTTACCTGAGCCCAAAATGTCTCAGTTTTGAATAGAAACAATCAGAAAAGAACATTTCTGCATAGCCTCTTAACTCTCATTTCTGCTTTAGATGGATATGCTATACTCAAATATCACAGGGACAAGTACAAGTTGGAACCACAGTTTGATGACACTGAACTTAGATTCTGCACAAAGGAGGATCCTACTCCTGGGACATTTCATTCATCTTTGGTTACATGAATTAGAAATTGTTTTAATTTGAGTGTTTGTAGTGTGTGTGTGTGTGTGTGTGTGTGTGTGTGTGTGTGTGTGTGTGTGTGTGTGTGTGTGTATAGTGAGAGACTCTCCTAGCCAATTCATAACACACTGGAGATGCTATACTCGAGATTAACTATATCTTTTCCAAATGAGGAAACTGAGGCACAGTATTGAACAATGACAGACCAATAACAGATCCCTTTAGGAACTTTAAAATGATTTCACCAGCATTTCCTTAACCAAAAATATTTTCAAAAAGATTTTGGCCTTGGAGATTGAATCTAGATCTTGTTTCGTGTGCTGTTGTTGTTCTTTCTCATGTTGCTCAGTTTTCAGCCCCACTTGGATGCAATGTGTTTTTGGTTGAGAAAGTTATTTCCTTGCTTTCGAAAACACTGAATTATTGGATCACTTTCACCAAGGGGCAATGATCCTAGAAATAACTTAAACTATGCCTTCTGCTTACCAAACCCAAACCCAAACCAGTGAACCAAACAAACAAATAGCACGGCTCGTCAGTAATTTCTCCCTGTACTGGTCCAATCGTGATTAAAAGTAAGAACAGCAGATAAATGTGAATCCTAGAAGAGATTAGTGCTGCCATTTATATAGTGTCCAGTCATGCAAACCATGCTGAAAAAGGAAGTGGCTTCGTTGTGGTGACATGGGGAAGAAGAAGGCCATGAGAAGCCCCTGCCTGTGGGGACCACCACGCACATGCATGCTCTTGACATAGCCACGTGAGTCCCCGCTGTAAGCGCTGGGTGTGAGAGTAAGTGAGCTATACAAGGTCTGTCTACATGACAGGAAGAGCCAGTCAGTGACCCCTTCTAAGTGGGCTTATTCGAAGGGGTCCATATGGAATCCGAAATGCCATCCCCAGTGGATGACAGAGGCATGGAGCCGCTGGGTGTGAAGGGGTCTGTATCTGTGTCTGTCTCCCCCTCGGCGAGGTACCGCTTCTCCCTCATCCAACTCGACCCTCCACTGGGGCCAAACATATAATCATCTCTGTCCTGGGAGATGCTGAAGCCACTTGGAGACCTCTCCAGCTCCTCATGATTGACCGACATGAGGGACAGAGGCGTGTCGCTGTCCCGGGTGATGCTGCGTCTCTGCCTGGGAGAGATGTGGTCAGAGGAGGGGCCGTGTGCTTCTCCCTGGGAGTGGTGGCCCACACGAGAGTCGAGAAGCGTCAAGATGGGCAGAACGGTGGGCCTCTCCGCGTGCGTGCTGGCCGAGGAAGGAAGGGTGGCCTGAGTCTTTGTGGTATTGGGTCCCCCTTGGGACAGGTTCACCGGGTCATGTGCAAAAAAACCATAGTGGCCAACTCTGTCAATGGGCACCTGGTGGAAGCTGTATGGGGGCTCGGGGGGTCCTGTCTCAGAGTAGTTGCAGATGATGGTTTTCAAATCAGAATACCTGTTGTCCTCTTTCTTGTCCCCTTCTGCTGGCGAGGACGGGCCTTTAGTCGGGTGATACTCAGTGACGTGTAGCCGCTCCATGTGCTGCATGTGCATGTCCACCAGGAAATCCAGCTTCTTCCCCATGTCTTGCACCTGCCAAACACAAGCGGTCGGCCATTACCGTTCCCCCCTGGAAGATGGCGACCATTGCTACTCTGGGGGAGGAATCATGGTTTTCACTTTCAGACAGCAACAGAAGCCTTGCAAGCTAATCACAGAAACTGCTAATTTCATTCACACCTCCAAGAAGCAAACCCTGCATATAAATGTCAGTAGAGAAACAACCAAGGCAAGGGTATTTTAGTAAGCCAAGGCTGGATGCTGAGAGACAGTGTGAGAATAAGAGTCAGGGGTTTTCCTTGTCCCCCTGTGGGGAAGGTGGTCATTCTGATTTCACTCTGCTCAAGGGATGGGAGTTCTTGATTTGTGAACAGTTCCTCAGATAGATGTATGTAGATTGTTAGTGCATGTTTTTCTTCTGGGTGACCCAGGACCCAGAAATGCAAGGCAAATAGTTAGCAAGGATGGTGCTTCTCAGAATCAAAGACTGTACTTGGTACCCTAACATGACAGAGAAAGCTGCCTGTGCCTTTGCATCCTAAATCAGGCACTGGTTTGAATGTTGTGAGTTTATATACATAGTGTGTGTGCAAACATGTGGATGCTGATCTCTCACAATGCATATATACAGTGTGTGTGCACATATGTGTGATGTTCCTTCTGACAATTCACATCTATTCTGTGTGTGTATGTGTGTGTGTGTGTGTGTGTGTGTGTCCTTCTCTGACAACTGACCGAGAAACACTGTGGTCAGGAAAGTGCATCCCTCCTTTGACAGATGGAGATCTGCAGCACAGGACTTGGTTGTGGCCGGCTGCTCCCGAGGCATGGTAAGAACTAATACCTAGAGAACAGCTACCAAGAAGAACTCTTTTTTTTATGTACTTTGCTGATTCTATTTGATTTTCACAGCAGTCTTACCAGGTAAAAACTGCTGTGTTTTATGTTTCACAGATGAGGAAATAACAGCACAGACCACTGAAGTAACTTGTCCCAGGTTAGATAGCTAATAAATAGAACTAAGAGTATAAATATAAAAATGATCAATGAGATCATTGATATGCCAAGGAAGAATAAGCATTCAAATGTTCAATTATTTGTCTCTGGAATGGATCTAATTTGGGACTGAATAAAATAAAGGGATTGATGTGAATCGTAGGGAAATCACAGTGTCCTTTATTGAATATGAATTTTGGCAAATTATGGGAGAAAGGTACAATATAAAGCACTTTCCTGTAGGTGTACAAGGTGCGTTATAGAGGATTTCATTGAATGCTTTTCACTCAAAGCCTTCACCCCTCTAGGCTACACATACAGGCCACACAAGGACAGGAAATTAAGACAGAAGAAGGACTGAGGACTCATGAAATAGCAGAGAACTAGTATTTTTTAAGGGATCATTCTGTAGCACATGGTGATGGTAGTGGTCAGTTGTTGGCTGTTCACTGCTAATAATCTAGATTAACTCTCACTAAAACTTTTTAAGGTATTAAAATCCCTCTAATTAGACAAAGACACCTGAGGCTCAGGACAACTAATAAACTTATATGTGATCAACTGGACATTAAAGGCTGAATCATAGAATTCCTTTCTAGATCCGTTGTTGAGTGGTACATGGGATTACTTAAGTATTTTATCTGCCTGGGGTGGGAAGTAGGGAGGGTAGGAAGAGGGAGATGGCATTTGCAAATAAACCGTATACATCTGCTTTCTAATGAGGGAAAGGCCAGACCCACCTGTCTTTCCACTTTCACAAACTTCCCCATCATGCTTTGGTCTTCGGTTTCTGCCGTGGATGCTCTGGCTGTGTATGGTTCATTCCTAAGAAGAAACCAACAGCTCCATAGATTGCGTGCATGCTTTCTCCCTGCAAGGCCACCTCAGCTCAGCAAGCCCTCACCCCCAAGCCATGGTGCTCATGTTCACACTTGGAAGCCAGGGAAAGATTATACTTATCACGTGTGAGTCAAGAGAAGCCAGCATTTTCTGAGTCTCAACACGGCTGATTTCACATAGGAAAACTTGGAAGCCAAATGTGAAGCCGCTAATAAGAAGGCTTCACTTTGTATTGCTAATAAAGAAGCTACCAGAGTGTAGTGTATTTAAATCCTTGTAATTAAATCCCTTTGCCTTTCCAGCTCTGAGACCTTTCACTGTGTGTGTGTGTGTGTGTGTGTGTGTGTGTGTGTGTGTGGTGTGTGGTGGAGGGGTTGTGTAATCTCTAAAGCTCTAAAGAGTGGGTAAAATATTTCATCAGGTCCACTTTGGGAAGAATGGGAAACAAATGCTAATCCAAAATGGGACTGGTGTGAATGGGATCAAGATGTGGGGTACATAATATGTGGTTAATATTCAATATTTATATATATTATAAAAATGCAAAGTTTCAGAGAGACTCAGTACTACTCAAAGCCATTCATGGGCTGGGAGTGTGGCTTAGTGGTAGAGTGCTTGCCTAGCATGCATGAAGCCCTGGGTTTGATTCCTCAGGACCACTGGAAGTGGCACTGTGGCTCAGGTGGTAGAGTGCTAGCCTTGAGCAAAAGAAGCTCAGGGACAGAAGACAGGCCCTGAGTTCAAGCCCCAGGAGTAGTAGCAAAAAAAAAAAAGCCATTCATGTTTCATGAGGTGGTGCCCCTGCTAAGTCCCCGACTTTACCTGAATGGTCTTGAATTAAAGCAGATGTCATAAGTTAGTGGCCTGTGTTCTACTGGTTTGTGCTTATCCATTGTGTGTGTGTGTATGTGTTGTGTGTGTGTTTTGCTTAAGTGTTTTTTTTGTCCTGTGAAAGTTTTAAAAAACTTCAAAATGACATTTCAGAAGGTCCGAATATTCAGCTTTCCTGGACATACTGGAATACCTTGGAAAGAGGACTCTCATTATTATTATTAGAAACAACAAAGCAGAATAATGCTTAGGTTTCTTAGATGGGACCATGGGGCTTCCATCCACAGTCCCTACATGACCTGCTCTAGCCACTACTCTTCTGAGGAGTAGATGCTTCTTACCATCATGTTTATGTTCTTGCTTCTTTTATAAAAAGAAGGTGCATCAGGTTCCTTCACTTATTTGTGTTGCTTTCCTCAAAAACATTTGGGAATCAAGCGGTGGAATTTCTAAAGGAAATTTACCAAAAATGTTTTGGAAGGCAGAGAGCTGTGTGGATATAATTTTGCGGTGTCTGGTTGCATTTTCTGGTTTGTCTTGGGAAGGGTTTCAGTCAATCCCAGGGGAGATTGTCCATGACGAACCAAACCAGCTAACCTAACCCATGGATACTGATAACAGGAAGTATTCTGCCCACTCCAACAGAAGTTATAAGTCACCTCTTGCTTTATAGCTAGGAAAGTGGTATGATTATTTCATTTTCAAAACCCAAAGACAAGAGTATTGTCTGCATGGAATGGAAAGAGAGGCAGGAAGTGTTGTGTTCACAATTTTTTTAAGTGGCCACAAACTGAAACAGCCTTCAAACTCTCTTCATCCACATAAAGGACCCATGCTGAGATCTGGAGAGAGGCATCTTCCACAGGCCTTGCCACCTTCCCTCCCCCATTTCCTCCCTCCCCTATCCATGCCCACCCCAAACCCCACCTGGGAGATTGCTGGGATGGATATGTGAATGCTGCTCCTTTCTGAGACTTCTTGTGTTTGGGAGTAGATGGAGGTCCAGGGGTGAAAATCATATCTATTCTGAAAGAAACAAACAAAAGAGAAGTTACATAACACAAGGTTTTGTTTTTCAGAAAGACATATCATTCTATTTTTTCCTAATTCAGATGTGGGTTTGGAATAAGCTAGAGAAAGGAAGAGAGACAGACAAACAGATTCTGTGAGGAAAAAAAAACAGAGAAGCTTGTCGCCTCAGTATATTGTTATGGTAATTTTTCCCCCTGGAGGTACTGAGAACATTTTATTTTTCATTCCTGGGTGAAGGGAGGCAGGTAATCCACTGAGATAACCACATATATCTCTGGGTGCTCCAACCCCAGCTCCTGCACTCAGCTTCCATTTCTGCAGGAGATGGTAACTTGTGATGGAGAGAAATGTTCTCCTCCATACTGTACAGTTGGGGCATGGCAGCATGACCATTAAGACTGTACATCCAGACTTGTCCTGGATCACTGTCTCCCCTTTGGGAACTGCATCTCATGCTGACAGGCTGTGCATCATTTTAAATCAGTCCTCCCCTCTCTCTCCTCCATTGCAGTATTGGCAGGGCTGAGGAGATGCAATTTGTCATCTAGACAAGGAACTTCCGGCCACAATTCCCAGAAACACATTTTCCTGATAAATATTAAAAAAAAAAAACTCATGACAGTGGAACAGTCCATTCTATGCTCATTAAAATTGGAAAATGTTCTTGGAGCCTGGCATGTCTTAGACATCATGTTCTCTTCCTCCATTGCTCAGAGAGCCTTCCTTGCACAAATAGTACCATGTAAAGCTGAGAATCCATTCACATATCCATTTCTTCAGTGGGAATTAAGTACTGCTGACTCTGTGCTTGCCACTATGGGAGGCAATAAAAGTGGATGTCCCAGCTAGGTACAAAGCAAGATTATGAATAAGCCTACCTCCACGCAGACAGCACCATGACCTTTCAGCCCCCTCAGCGTGATGCTGTGTTAACATAGCAAGATAGTCCAATGGGGAATTGTTATTTGGATGAAGAGACTAAAATCCAGAAGGACTCATGTCAACTTGAATTATGTCATTTTCTCTCTTAGCCCCCTGTATGCGGGAATGTGTATGCATTTTTATAATCATATCACAATATATATAGTATGCCACTTATTTATGCTTTTTGTAGCATTAGAAATTGCACCCCAGGCTTTGCACTTCAGCTAGGCATTTATTGAACCACGTCATCTATGCCTGCAGCCATTTTTGTTTTTAGTTGTGTGTGTGTGTGTGTTTTAATTTGGTTTGGTTTTTAAAAGAGGGTCTATTAACTTTGTTCTGACTGGTCTCAATTTCAAGATCCTCCTGCCTCTGCCTCCTGAGTAGCTGGGATTATAGGCAAGCAACACCGTAATCAGCTGTTTATTAGTAAATATCATCAGAGAATCTAGGCAGGGCATATTTACTAGATTATATATACAGAAACACATAAATCTGTGGTAATTTGCTCTTCAATTTACTAGCAGAGTAATTTTTTGTTAGTCCTTTGTCCCTTTGGCTTTGTTTTTTTCATAAGAAATGTGACACCTGTTATGTCATAAGCATCTAATTGCATTCTAAGGGCCTAGATATGAATCTGTTGAACATTCCTGTGCTCCATATAATAGAGGCACACAAAAAAGGAAACTGATGCTGTTTCTATTTTTTCACTATTCTTAGTAGTACTTTTTTAAATGTTAAAAAATTACATTTAGAATTAGCCACTTGGATACAGTTTACACGACCCCAGTTTTGATGTCAACATCCAAAGCATTGTTGTCAGGAGCCATCTGGACACAGACCTTTCTCCTCTCCAACAGGCCTGGTCAAGGTGTTGCCCTTGGTTATGACAATGGCCTAGAACTTCTCTGCCTGATACTGGTTGGCTCTGCCATTCACAGTGCTTGTTGAGCATTTGTTCCCTTGAACTTTCTCTCCCGCACCTTGGATTACTTCTGAATGCCTTTCATCTTAATCTCCAGGGTTCCCATGTCTTTGATTCCCAAATGGTTGGGAATATACAGGCCCTCTGGATAGATGGTCCTACCTTGTCTGAAGGTATTTTATTCTGGAAAGCATGTCCAGATGTCCTGCGGAATACTGCTCAATCACATCCTTCACATCATAAGGCCTCAATGTCTCCTTGAATTTCTTTTTATAGAGACGGAATTGTAGAATTCTGCAAGGCAAAGTAGAGGCATTTGTATATCATGGGTATAAAGTGAAAAAATATAAAATGAGGCAAGAAAACTTAGGGACATAAGGAGAGAAGGAAGAGAATCCAACTTGATGGGGCAAACTTTCGGCTTTGGTTTCTGGCGCTAGTCCCTTTGAACCACACTTAATTCACTGGTTAGTACCTCTCTTTCAATCATTTGAATAAAAAGAAAATTATAGTACCAATGAGAGCTAACATTTTCTGAGCATTCATTGCATGGTGGACAAAATATTATGACTATTGGGTTCATAGAGTAATTTATATATGATGCAACTGTGGCTCAGAGAATTCTGATGTCTCCAAGGACATGTTGGATATGATATCAGAGCTGGTCTTTAGACTGAGGCCTGTGTCCTGACAGGCTTGTACGCTTGGTCACTGACACACTGCATTCTCTTTGAGGACAATTAGTATATCTTTTCTTCAGTCAGTAGCTTCTTTCTCTCTCTTTTGCTTTGATTGCTTAATTTCTGTCCCCTAACTTGTCTCCTCACACACAGACAAAACCTCTGAAATTCATTATCTTGTTAAAAAATGCTGATTAAAAAGAACTGTATGGAGGAAGAGAAACAGAAGAAAAGTCAAGTGAGGAACAAAGCAGAAAACGTGTCAATATACCCTGGCAGTATCTTCACCAAGACATCCCTCAAAATGAATGCTGCTTAAAGCCAGAGGGGAGTGAGTTGGTTGGAAGACAGTCCTCTTTAATAGGTAAGCAGGACTCACTCACAACATGATGACCTTTTTTTTTTCCTGGAGACTGTATCCTCTATAGAGGATTTCATAACCATGGGACTTGACTCAAGGTGATTAGAGGAACATCTAGCCCCGTCCCAAAGCCCAAAGGTTCTTTGCAAGCCATGTCCTATAGAACTTGAACTACGGCCTGGGGAGGCTCCCAGGTGGGGGTGGGGTGGACAGGATCATCACCTGACAGCTCGGATGGCAGCCTTCAGGGTGGGGATCATGTCTTCAATGAGGAAGTCATTCCCATAGCCCCTATCTTCTGCCATGGGATCACCTGTCCCAGCATCTGCAAGGGAAACACATGGATGCAGGTGGTGGCATGTGGAGAGGCCCAAAGACTCACTGTTGAGTCAACATTGCCAACCTCTTTTGTGGAACCGCTCTCCTGTCTACTTGTGGCATTGTTCACCCCTCCTTGGCATCCCAATTGCCCTGTGCATTCATCTCCCCTTTACTTTCCAGAGATGTGAGCAGCTGAGGGCTACCTGTGGGGGAGAAGCCTAGCAGGTGAGCCAGGTGAGGTCTACAAATGCGGAGTTGCTCTGAAGGCAGCAACAAGCAGCACTGAGCACAGGTCAGACATACCTGACTCAGAATTCTTGATGCGCTCATCTCTACCCTGACATCTTTGGGAGATCACTGAGCTTATAAGGGCTCCAGCAGTCTGAGGAAGGTCAAGGGTTGGGTGGCTGCAGGCACTGAAGATGCTCTTGTGCTTTCCTTCCCACCCGATTTAATAAGTAAAAGAAGCTCATGGGGCCATTGTTCTTATAGCCCCTTGGCTTATGAATTCATTTCTGCCCTATCTACTCCTTATCTGGGGAGATAATGTGTCAATCTCCATCTGGCTCTCTATTTCACCTCTCTCCATCTTTCCAGTTGACCCCTATGACAAATACTTCACCATGGCCACTACTAGAAGTCATCATCACATATGGTAAGGGTCCAAGGAAAGGTTTAAGCTAGAGAAAGGAGGTGATTCTGACCTAGGAGCACGTAGAATTAGGACTCTCCCTCCCCCATAAGTCTCACACTACAGACCAAAGGACAGGAAAAAAATGAAGCAAGAAGTTGTTTCAGGGCAGAGTGGGACAGGCTATCTTGTGGTAAGAGGGAGCGGTAAGAGAGTTGGAGGGGCTTGGAGGGGAAGAAGCTGAGGAAGAAGAAGGACATTACCTTCAGAACTCTGCCAGAAAGCGTAGGCTTTCATGCGGAAGGCCGTACGGAAGCGTTCTTTATTGTTTAAGCCAACAGGCTTTGGTTCTTTAGAAGGACTTTCTTCTATGGCATCTACATTCAGAGGGGTAAATAGCTTTCCTTTAGTATTGCTACCACGAGGATTAGAAAGGCGAACCCGATCCAAGAGACCCAGCTTTTGGCTACAAAATAAGCAAAAGTGAACAATTTTCCTCCTTCAGTGTAGGCTCTTGTAATTTCCCATCCCTCCATAAAGACCCTCACATTCTCCTCCAGGGGTTGGAGGGACCTGTGTACCCACAATGTCCTGTGCACTCACAGTGCTAATGAGCAGATTTAGCAGCTTAGAATAGGATGGGGAAAGACTGCAGTCCTAGCCCAGCCATTTACTAGTGATTAGACCATGGGCAAATTCCTTAATTTCACTTTCTCCATGCGCTTAAGTGGAGTGGAGCTTAAACGGGACACAGGGTACATTATGATTCTCCCTTACCAACGTTGCCACAGTTTCAGGGACCTGTCTGAAAATAATACTATAATACAGTGAGCAGTTAAGATATTTTGAGAGGAGATGGTGGGGAAGGGAAAAGAATAGCCACATAACTTCTATTGGTACAAGTATATTGTTGCAATTCTTCGTTATTGTGGTTTACTCTCACCATGTCTAATTTGCAAATGAAATCTCTCATTGGTATGTCTGTGTGTGGAAAAGAGCAGTAAATGATGCATTTAGGATGTTTCAGTTGGGGGGGGTCTGAGAACACATCCCTTGTGGATAAAAAGGAGTTGCTATAAAGTGCCTTTCCGCAAACATTTGTCCTGTTAGATGTCCTTCTACTCTGTATTAATTTTTTTTTTATCATTTCATGGTGTCTGAATAGTGACTAACGTGGAAGAATCCTTACTGAATGCCCTCTCTAAGGAGCGGAATGATGTGAATGATATAAAGCAGGCACCTTGAACCCGCTGACCCCGAGGACAGACCCCGTGGACAGACGCCAGGGTGGAAACAACTCTGCCAATTTTGCATTCAGTTATAAGTATAGGTAACAAACCACACAATGCTTATGACTGTTCACAACAGGAACCCCAGGTAATTTTATTCATTATCTCAAGGTATTGGTTTTGCTCACCACAGCTTCAAGGGGACAAGGGTATTCAACCTGGCATTAGATCTTTCACTAAGGTGGTCACTTGCTTGACAATAGCTCAAAGTTTTCAATGTATTGATAACTGTGTCAATATGATCCATTTCTTTTACAACTGCATATTACATTTTATTCATGGATCCTGAATTATTATTCTAAGAAGGAATCCATGTTCATTGCCATAAAAAAGAGGTCTACACACACACACACACACACACACACACACACACACACACACGCAGACACACACACACACACACATACACACACATACATGCACACACACAAAGAAACCCATGTTTTTGTTGGTATGTCCTTTCTTGCCTTCTTAGGCAATTTCATTCCTCTGTGTCTTTCAAAATTATGGCTAAGCATTTCTTCTTGGAAATTTGGCATACTCCAAAGAGGACATGGTATTTTTCTGTCCCAGTATTTAACAATACACTATGAAGTTTACATTTCTATATATGCTTGTCTCGTGGGATTATGTAGCCTGGTGAGAAAGTGACTCTGCTCCATTATCTTTAGACACTGCAAACCTCCCTGCTCCACATAGCACTTCAGGTTGTGGGCTCTGGGGCAAACCCACTTCAGTGGAGACATCCTGACAAAGCATGTGGCCTAGGACATGTAATTTGTGCTCTCTGTTCCCCAGATTGCTCACATGCAAGATGATAATCACACACTACACATCACGTATCGATTATGAGTTTAATGAGGCAATGTACATAAATTGCTTGGCCTACTGTCTAGGGTACAGGAAATACTCAGTAAATGCTGGCTGTCATCGTTATCTTGGTAAATAATCCTCTTCCCACAGAAGCAGTGGAAGTCTGATGGCATCTGTGAAAAGGAGGGATCCAATTTCCTTGCTTTTTAAAAAGCTGAGCTGAGCTGGGTTTAGGGATTTGTATATTATCTTATAATACTTCTTAATGTAAGTCTCCAAACTCAATATTGTCATTGTAGTCCATTTCAAGAGGAGATTTGTGAGGAGCTGAATTCCAAATAAACTAAGCATGACAAAAGTTAATAGCAGCTACTTATTCCTGCCTTGAAATTTCAGTTTAATTGTTGAATATCAGAAAGATAATGAGAAGACTCTCTCATTCCCTATGTGCTTGGATTTAGAATTTGGTTTCTTTGGCATTTCAGTGTTTCACTGCTTCACTGCAACCTCTAAGAGTCTAAATTGCTTTAGCCATATTCATTTAATACCCCACTGGTCACAAATGACACTTTAGACCTTGTTAGGAATCTATACATGTCAGCAGAAGTCAGAAACCTCAGCTCTGAGTAGCCCGCAGCTATCACCCCTAAGAGGCTTAAGGATTCTTCCTCTAGCAAAATGGATCTCAGCTTCTTAATCATGTTGCTTGAAATCTAAGTCCTCCAAGGATAATCAAATGTGGGGCAAAGTTCACCTCTGAAATTTAAAACCCATTTCCATTCCTCCCTATGGATTTCTAGTGTATAACTCAGACCTTGTTCTAGGAAGGTCCTGCAGATCTTGCAAGAAAAATCCTCCTCAGAGCAGACATTTGATTTCCTAAGAAAACCAGAGTCCCTGATTTGCTAAGTACAGATGAACAACCTCTAAGCATGAATTTGTAAAACTAAACACGGATGGTGACAGAAAAGTAAAGTTAAGGTTACTCTACCCTGGCTTCTACAGATCTTGTCCTTGGCTCCTACCTCAGGTTACAGTGCTCAGTGTTTAGGGAAGAAAGGAGGGAGGGAAGGAAGAAAGAAAAGAAGAAAGGAAGGGAGGAACAGAAGAGACAGAAGAAGGAGGAAGGGAAGGAGGAAGGAAAAGAAAATAGAGGAAAGAAGAAAGGAAGAAAAATGAAGAAGAAAAAACAGAAGACAAGAAGAAGATAGGAAAGGAAGGAAGGAGGGAAGGAAGAGGAATGAAGAGAGGCAGGAGGACGGAAAGGAAGGAGTAGGTAAAGAAGAAAGGAGGGAAGGAGGAAAAGAAGGAAGGTTACAACAAAGCCAAAATTCAAAGCTATTTCCATTCGTTCCTGAGCCAGTCCTATGTCATATGAAATGACCCTGGGCCCAGAAAATCTAGGAATGTGGATGCCAATCCAACAACAATAACAAAGGCAAGTCGAGTATTTACCAATGGTCCAGCTGGATTCTAAGTGAACAGTCTTTCAATAGTCCTAGGAGGTGGGTGTTTTTTTTTTTTTTTTTTTTTAAGTATACCCTTCATATCCAGAAGGAAACAGGCAGATTCAGGAATCTGCCCAAAATGACACAGCTGAAATTGTTCAAAATGAATTTTAACCCACAGTGTCTTATGCGTGAAAATCACCTGGCTCCAGTTCTGCTAGTTAGGCCCCAAGGTCAAGGCACACAGGACCTCAGGTGCTTGGGAATCACGGCCCAATGGCTGCCATCTAGTGGTGAGGAAACTTGGCCTAGGTGACAAGAGGCTCCTAAATGAATGGCTAGGCTAGGCTGGGAGGAAGATGGGTGGTTCTAGCAGGAACTAGCAGAATCATCACTGGCTCTTAGGTTAGAAACACACACACACACACACATCACAGTTTTGAAAGAGCCCAATGTGTTAATCTAGTTCTTCCTCATGTGGACAGGTTTGTGAAGTCAGCTCTGCTGAGCCCAGTGGTCTGTATGGTTTGACCCAGCGAGTTTGGAAATCTATGAGCATTATCAGTGTAGGGGGCACAATGAAACCCAACCCTTTCAAAACAGTCCCTCTCAAAACTACAGGTCTTAGAATCTGCAGAGACAGCTCCTTACCATATGCAAACCCATCACACTTGCCTTTCTAGATGGCAGAGGGTTGAATGGGATCCCCTTAGAACAAGTTCAAACCCTAGACCATGCTTATAAAGGTTGTCAACACAACCTTTATAGATATACCCAAGTTAAGATGAATTCATAGGGGAATTAGATGTGCATTTAATCCTTTGACTGGTTTCTATAAGAAAAAAAGGGAGATGTGATAGAGACAGACAGAATTAGAAGAAAGCAAGCCATGTGATGATGGAGACAGGCATTGGAGTGATGTGTCTACAAGCCAAGTAATGTGAATGAAAGATTTCCACTAGAAACCATTAGAAGGCAGGAGGAAGCAAGCAACTTCACCCCCCACCCTCCCCAATGGCTCTGCAAAGAGTACTGCCTAGACAACTTGTTTTCTTAATTCCAGTCTCTTTTGAGAGAGAATAAATCTTTGTTGTTGTAAGTCAATCTGGTATAATTCTAAGACATCCAAGTATAGTCATACTTGATACAGTTGTTCCTAGATAAGTATAGGTGTGCCATTATACCTGTTTGGAGTCATGTTTGTGGTAATATAGCCACCAATGACCAGTAGGTAGATAATAAGGTATAGGCATTGTTTTCAGTCTTTAGGAACCAAGTAAGGAGGCTGTGACAGTACTTATGTCTTAGGAATGAAGTTTTTAATGGGTAGAGAAAGACCACATGAAATGTAACCTTTCATGAAGTGTGCAATCAGTTCCCATATTTTAAAAATGGAATAAAAACAAAACAAAGGTATAAACAATGGAATTTCTATATTCTGAGCGTAACTGGGTAAATCCCCCCAGCCCTCTCCTGGATGACAGCCCTGTCCCCAGACAGAAATTAAATTATCTTATGTGTTATGCTGAACATATGCATTCGCCTTTGGCCAGACTTCCTTGACTGGGCAGGTTCCATACTAATGTCCAGTGCTCACATGTGTTCTTCCTCTCACAAGTCTCTCTGCTCCACGGGACTGGCCAGGCCCTGGATTGACCCATACTGTTGACTTAGAGAGCATCAGCTCTGTCCCTGTCCTCCTTCTAAGCCAGAATTGGTTGGGAATATTATGAAACTGTCACCCTAGAGCCAACAATGTTTTACCAAATAAATGTAATCCATATTTTCATCCTTCTCTGAGAAAACCACATCTCTTAATTCAGAGGTAAAGAGATGTGAAATAAATAGGCATGCTCTCCACAACTATTCCTAAAGGCAAATGGTGACATGCCTTCCGTTACATGTCAGGCATTAGGAAAAATAAAATTGGTCCAAATCTCACCTCTCCATCTCAGCTACTGAATTCTTTGATCCACTAAGTTCAACAGCTTTGTAATCAGAAGGTAAGAGCAAGGAAGGTTCCTGAGACATTTTTTTTTCTCCTTTTGAAGACAGATGCACAGAAGAAACCTGAAGGCCGTTGTTCAGATTGAATTGTTTGCAAATATAAATTGAACAAGTGGGCTCAAACAAGCAGGTGTTGTCAACACAGATACCTGCCTTGAGAATATCACAGCCTAGACTCCCCTTTATGCCGCGAAGACTGCATGAGGTAACATGTTCTGAACCTAGCCCAGAGGACTCATTCATCAAGAGGCTGTGGCTGTGATTTCTATGCAGTTGCCTTTGAGTAAATCTAGTTGCAGCATACGTGGTCAGCAAGGAGAATGACCCCAAGATCTATGCATGACAGTGAGGAAAAGAGGAAGATTCACAGTTAGAAACTTACCTGGCTGCTGCTTCTAGCTGTTCTTTCCTGTAAGGAGAAGAGAGAGAAGAAAAGACAGCATGTTATGTGCAACAGTGGAACCCCTCTCCAAAGTTTTCCCCAAAGTTTCCCTTTGAAAGTAAAGAGAGGGCACTCTAGGACAGATGGAAATGGTGGAGAGAAAGTAACAAAACTATTTTCCCAGCCAGACTACTTCTGCAGCAACCATTTGGCTCCAGGTGTTCAAGATCTTCTCAGCTGCTCATTCATTCTTTCATTCATTCATTCAGAAAATAGTTGGTAAGTACCGACTCTACTTCAAGGCTGGTTTTGGGTTTAAGGGTGTTTAATAGTGGAGACATGAGTGTCATGGTGCAGCTCCACATCCCGCCACTCTGCCACCACCATCATCAGAGTCAATAATGTCTGGCCTGTGAACCTTCACTGAGCAAACGATTTCATCCCTTGGTCCTCTATCATCAGATAATAGCTAAAGTGCCATTTATGTATTACCTCTTTCAATCCTCACAAAACCTTGTGATATAACTACTATTAACATCTCATTTTCCTGATGAGAAAACTGAGGCATTGAGAAATCAAATGAAGGTCTCATGAAGCAGCTGAGTCAGGATCTGAACCTAGACCATGTGAGTGCTCCAGCACACGTGCTTTGCACACAGTTAGGATGCTGAGCTATTATTCAGGCTCTGCTTAGAGTCCCCTTCCTCTTCCCTTCATGGAATATGAAGAGGACTCATCCATTCATTCTACCTTTTGGAGGCCCATTCCAGATACTGTGCTTGAACCCTGTGCCCAAGACTAAAATTAAGACACACAGTGTCTTCCTTCCTTCTTCACCTTCTCTGTGCTAAAGAATCCATCTATCTATATCCTTCCTGTCCAGTATAGACTAAACACCTGCAATAGGCCAGGCTCTTTGTAATTCAAATAAGTGGTAATCAAGAAAAAATTAAAACCAAGTAGTATCATCTATCATTACTATACCAAAACACATAACTGAAAATTAGATTCCTATACTGAGCAGAAAGTTTTATATGACCCCATTACTGAGCTGGGCTACACAATCCCATCTTTCAAACCTTGGCAGGAGTGTAAAATGGTCTAGCAAGTGGCTGGGAAGGTGGCTCAGTGGTAAAGTGCTTGTCTTGCATGCTCGAGGCCCTGGGTTCCATTCCTCAGCACCACATAAGCAAAAAGAAAAAAGCCGGAAGTGGCACTGTGGCTTAAGTGGTAGAGCGCTAGCCTTGAGCTGAAGAGCTGAGGGACAGCGCCCAGGCCCAGAGTTCAGGCCCCACAACCGGACCCCCCCCAAAAAAAAATGGTCTAGCGACTGTGGAGCACAGTTTAATAATTCCTCAAAATGTGAGACAAAGGTTAACCAATTTTACTCAAAAGTATCTCTCCCAAAAAGTTGAAAATATGTCCACAGAGTGACATGTTCTTGGGAGTATTATTCATACAAGCTCAAAAATGGAAACAGCGCAAATGTTTATCAAGTTTATCAATTAAAAGTAAATAGAATGTAAAACCAAAGAGTAACTGCTAATGAGTATGGGCGTTCTTTCTGGTGTAGTAAAGTCATTCTAGAATTACAGAGTGGTGACAGATACCCAAATTTTCGTGAATATTCTTGAAATTACCAAATGTTCTACTTAAAGCGTGTACATTGCATAGGTAGGGTAACATATCTCAATATAATGGCTATTAAAAATTAACAAAGGCAGGTGACATACCAGCATATTATCGCTTATTTCTTTACCCTTATCACATGACCTGAGTTGGAATTCAGGGACATTCTTTTCCCAAGGAATTGCCTTGTTGCAGAATGGTTGCTAAGTGAATGTCTCTAGTGACTTTGTACTTTTGTCCTTGGGGGAAAAAAGAAAGAAAGAAATGTTCTCTCTTCCTTTAAAAGCCATTCCCGTATCACAGCAGCTGTCTGGCAGCACAATGTAGCCCTCGGAGTCTCTGACAGCCAGGACAATACCTTATTTATAATAAATCAACCCAAAAGAATAGGCCCATTGCCAAGGCCTTGAGATACATAGCAAATGAAAATCATCTTGGTTCCGCATCCAACGTGGGTGTACATATTTTGTTTTTGAGCTCAAGGTCATTGTGTTCTCTTAAGATTAAACCACCTGCCCATCCTAGGAAGACTTTGCTGTATGCTACCCTACATCTTAGAAATGATAGCGAAACTAGAATTATAGAAAGGATTATAGAAAGGAAGGGAACTATATAGATTATATTCTGAGCAATTAAGATTAATTATAATTCCTAAGACTCGGTAAAGTACCCTCATCCAAACTTAGCATTCATTTTTTCAAAAACTTGATTCCTCTTTTCTCCACAGCTCTTTCTCAAATCATCCATCCATTGTGAGCTGGTCCAGGCCCTACTTTCTTTCTTTTTTTAGTTAAAGTTGTGTTATCATTAAGTAGTTGTGCAAAGGGGTTTCAATTCCACGTATCATTTTCTGAGTACAGTGTACCTTGATCAATGTCACCACTTGTGTCAGTATCCCTTCCCCTCCCCCCAGTTTTCCTGGTTCCACATTGAACATTATGACTGTATTTATCCACCTTCTTCTCCCTGTTCATGCTTCCCCCTCTCCTTGGCCTCACCCACTCCTGACAAAACAGGTCCTAACTTCCTGATACTCATGTTGTTAAACTGCAAGGTAGTAGTCTAATTTCCTCCTACCCTGAGCCCTGCCTGAAAACATATGCAACCTGATCGCTTTGTCTTGAATCTTAAGTCCATTTCATCCATTTTCCATCCTCAAACTCTGCCAGCTTCCTGGAACACAGACTTGATTGTATTATTCTCTGGCTCCTATAGCTTCTCATTACCTTCAGGATCAAAGCTTCGTTAGCCAAAGCTTTGGCTTTAGTTTCACCCAGTGCTCAGCATATACACTGGGTTCAAAAATACTGACAGTCTGAAGACTTCTAATTGAAAGAGGCTCATTGCCCCAGATCCCCTTGAGAAGTGAAAACACATTGGTAGATTAGATGAGAGATGTGTGTGGAGCCTGATTTTTAGGTCCTGAAGTTCAGGGTAAAGTTTCAACTTTCCATTTGTCATGTTTGCCCACTGGAAGTTTTTGTTCATGTTTTATAACAGGGAAATGGGTTAATCAAATATAGTTTTCTGCTAGTTCTTTAAATTGTTTAGTACAATCTGGAAATGATAATGGAAAGATAAACAAGGCAGTGTCCAGAGATCAACAGATCCTACACTGTGTGTGTGATGGAGTAGAAGGCAATAAAAGGAGTCACTTCTCTACTATGGGGTCATACTATGGCCCTTCAAAATGCTAGTGTGACAGGAACAAGCTGTCTGTCTATGTCAAAGATGACTCTAGGAGTCCAGCATCTATCCAGAGACTTAAAATTCTGAGCTCAGGACAATAGTATCAAAACCCCAGGAAGGAGCAGCCTGTTTAGACGCCCTGTTGGGGAGAAGGCCATAGGCACTAGCAGCCTCTAGATGTGGTTAACACACTGGTCAAAATGGCCCACATTTCTGGTCGAAACAATGAGTGGAGCCTGGTACCATCAACTCTGAAACAGCATGAGACCTGATGCTGAGGGTCTCCTTCAGGAAGCTCATACTACCACGCTTCCATCAGAGCTGCTGAAGGTGGATGATGGCTCTGCCTTTTCAAATACCCCCTCAGTTCTGACACATCTGTACTTTTGAGAACCTCTGATTTAGCTCAGAGGAGCTCTGTGAGAACCAAATGAAATATGAACTTGGAACACATCCAACATCCAATGTATGCTAATTTATTCTTCCTTTTTTCTATATGCTGGTCATGGGAACAGGTTATCTACCGCCTCCCTTGAGCACTTTAATTCCATTTTCTGAGAACACAAAGTGGCATTGCTGGGTCCCCAGAGGACTCCTTTGCCCTTCCCTTTCCTCTTCCTTTCTCTGAAGCCCACAGTGGTCTGGGGATGCAGAACACAGCCAGGTAAAGGGCATTCCAGGATGGCTGCGGTGTCTGATTGTACTGGCTCCCATTTCCTCTGCCCTCTGACCCTCCTTCCACATAGATCAGATCTTATCTTGTTATCTGCTACTTCAAGCTGTCCAACTGGTCACCTCCAGCAACAAACTGGATTCTTCCAGAATGCTTTAAAAATACTGATGCCCAAGGCTCAGTCTTGAAGCATCAGGATTCAGTGATAATATTAACTTAATTAGCCTGGGATATAGCATGGGCAGTAGGGCTTTATAAGTGCCTAGGTGATACTAAGGCATAGTCCACGTTGATCATTCCCTGTAGCCTTGAAAGATGACTCCACAGGGAAACTTTGAGACCACAGCACAAATAGATTCCACAGCAGGGATGGCCAGCCACACCTGAGTGTGCAGCCCAGCGAGCACTTGCCTGAAGAATGGGAAGGAGACAACTGACTCATAGAATCTCCAGGTCGCCACAAGGTCCAACCTGTTGGGGTTGGTAGCATAATACCTCCAGGCAGCCTGCAGAGGGGAAAAGAGGGACAGGATGAAACTTCCACACAGAATCGCATGACATGATCACAACTTTTGGGCAACTGACCACTAAGAGTTTAAATGTGCAATTAAGCCACCAGAGCAACTGAGACAGTTCGGTTTATTCTAGCTCCTTTAGGAAGAAAACCTTTCTTGACTATCTTGGAGTTTTAATTGTTATTATGGTTGGTGAGAACATGCACGACTCCTTCTAGAATGTTCTCTGAGACTGCTCAGTCAATGGACTAGGAAGAGTTTCTGAGTGCAAGAGAGAGCCTGGGAAAAGAGGTTTAGATCTTTAGATGGTAGAACTTCCAGAGTGTTCTGATGGCTCAGGGCTTGGGGGATAATGGGGACTAATCTTAAAACTGCAACATGTGGAATGCCATCAGGTACCATGCTGGAGCAGAGCTAAACACAACGCTAACACTGGACACACGTTCACACACGGGTGAGTGTGTCTTGAGCGTTCAGGTAGCTATGACTGGGATAATTCATTTTCCTTGTTCCCAACAGACTACACACTCATGAGGCAAGAAGTCCCAGTGACGTGTAAGAGGGAGGACCTCTGTCTGTCGTAACCTCTGCCCTCGGCTGGGGAGGCAATGGTGAAAGAGAACAGGCAGGCTCCGAAAGCTACTGGTCCATGATTGTCTATCTGGCAGAACAACTCTGTGAAGCATGCGGTATTCTTCACATGAAAGGCAAGTTTTTTCTTTCTTGACTTACGGTTCTCTATCATTAGCAGACAGGAGGAGACTCTAGTGTTCCTTTAGCTCACTGCCTAGCACCTAGACTGTAAATGCCTCTTCTCTGTGGGTTCCTAGGTGAAGCTTGGGGTGTGAAGTAGAATGCAAAATAAGCTAAGTAGTGCCACATATCTAAGACAAATTCTCTATTCCAGCATTACCGGTGTAAAAGTAGCTGGTTTTATTTGTGAGTCCTGCATCTGTTTCTGGAATGCTTTAGAAGCTGGGTGGGAGAGTGACAGGACTGTCCTTTGTAGAACATTCAGAGGTCATATAGATAAGTATATAACGTTTCTAATAAAACATGTGAACTTGGGACATATAATGGTTAGCCATATAACCTCATGGCTGTCTGTAAGACAGCACGTACAAGCTGGCCTACTCCTGCCTGGACATGTGAACACACACACACACACACACACACACACGCACACACACACACACACACACACACACACACACACACACACCATCCTGGGCTCCATTCCAGTTTATCCCCCCTGAAAACAGACCTGGATGAGCTCAGCAGCTGGCTTCCTCCTTTTCTCAAAGTGCTTCTGACGGTGCTGCTCCTGCACCTTGAGAGCCAGCCCTGATCCCAGGATGCCCTGCAGGGGGAAGTCACAATATCCATTGGCCTCACCAGACTCACGGCACATTAAGCCCTATTGGTGCCCAGTGGCACTCGGGGAGCTTCACCAGGAAAAGAAAAGGAAGACATGGATCAAGATGCACTGTACTTGTAAACTGACATGTTGAATTTGTACAGATCCTTAGAGATAACAAAAATAAGTTAAAAAGTTGTTAAAGTGAAGGGAGGATGAGCAGCAATCTTAAGTAGCAATGAAGGATGGCTACTTATGAATGCTCTTCTCAAGCTCTGTGTCAAAATAGCCATTCTTTAGAACTGGTCAGACTAGTGAGATTCTGGTCTCCACAACCCAGCTACATTTACTAACCTAATTAAGCCTTTGTTTTGCCATCTGGAAAAATGGAGAAAATATGGCACCAAATTCACAGTGTTGTCATGAAGACCAAGTCAAGTGATATAGCTAAAGCATTTAGCACTATTTTGATATACAGTAAGTTCAGTTAGTGCCTTTTTTCCCCTCTTACTCTCATTATTACATTTCTGGCCATTTTCAATCATATTATGCCAAGTGTTTTGCCTGAGAAAAATGAATAATTAGTAAATGACAGGGCAAATATCTAGTAAGTGACAGGACAAAGGAAGACAGAGTTCTGCGATATATGAAGACAGAAATCCAGTCTCCCAGGAGGAGGCAGAGATGGAAATGCACAACCCCAGCACAGTCATAGTGCCTTTCCAGATTTATGCCCAGAACAGGGAGTGAGTACCTCAGTGTGAAGAAGGCAATACTCACACTGGGTCTTGGATAATAAAAGGATGTTTGAAAGAATCACTCCTAGCCCGGAGAAGCATAACTGGCCATTAAAAAAAGACAGGGCCACCACATGTAAGGAGAGAGCTGGAGAAGTTGTGAGGTGTAGAATTTCAGGCATAAAAGACTGAGGAAATGTGAGCTGGGGCCAGGCAGTGAAAGGAGCCCTGTGTCACACATCAAAGGTACTTACTGCTGGAAGGGCAAAAAAGGAGACACCAATTAAGGAAAAAGTGGCAGCAATCAGACGGCCTTCCCAGGTCTTGGGTGTCTTGTCTCCATAGCCAATGGTGGCCAGTGTGATCTGAAGAGAGAAGAGTTCAGACGGGGGCTGCCCACGGAGGGAATATCATCCACACATCCGCTGAGCTCCATCTCTAAGCCTCTACACCTGCTGGGGTGTTGCTCCCATTTATCACTAAATTTCCATGGGATAAAAGCCACCTGGTACTAAATAATTTAAATGGAAGCCTTGTGACCATAGCCTGTTTCTTTAAGTCAAGGATGTGCTACTTCTCAGTCAACAAATAGTGAAATAATTACAAGTATGTATGTGTGCACTCATGGGTGAATGCACAGTTGGCCTTCTGAACATGGGAATTCTACATATTTGGATTCAACCAACTGGATCAAAAATATGAGACAAATCAATATAACATAACACAACAAAACAATGGGGGAAGGGGAGAAGAATGCAGTCAAGAATTCATTGTATATACCACACAAGAAGAAGAGGGGAAGGGGTGGTGGAAGGGGGTGAATCTGTTGAAGGGGTAACATCGATCAAGACTCATTGCATTCATAAACTACTTTGTTAAAGGGCAACAAAATTTGCTACATATCCTACAAAGTTAACAAAAATGAGGGGAGGGGTGGGCTGGGGGGAGAATATTGAAAGGGGTGACATTGATCAAGACGCACTGTGTTCATAAACTGCTTATGTGAATGGCAACTCCTTTGTAAATAGTCAAAGATAATAAAAATATATAAACCTATACTATAACAATGCTTTATATAGCATGCAGGGGTTATAAGAAAGCTAGAGATGATTTAAGTATATAGTCAGACAAACATGTATAGGCTATGTGACCATTTTAAATGAGAGACTTGAGCGTCTTCAGATTCTGATAACTTCCAGGGATGGGGTGAGATGCGCTCCTGGAACCAAGCGCTTGTGAATAGGGATGAATGAATATACTTGTGAATGCGTGACTTCATGCATAACCATGTTCATGAATTGTGATTCCAAGTGCATTTGTGTATATTTGCATATGTGTGTCATACATTCCAGTGTAATATTCCACATTTATGTTATCGTACATACACATGTGTTCACGTGTGCCCACTTTTGGAGAACAGGTTACAAATGAGGAAACACTATGGCCTCTGGAGCCCTCCTGTCCACTTTCAAATCTCAAGCTAAATCTGCTAGTGGATGAGAGATCTTAAGTAAACTAGTTATAAAAAAAAAATCTCTTCCTGCCTCAGTTTCCTCATTTTGCAAAAGAGGGTAATAACAGAGGTTTGAGTTTCAGGTATACTAGAAAGGAAAACATGCTCATAATGATAGTCCAGAGCAAAATAAGAATTCAAGAAACGCTGCTTTAATACAGAGCAGGTTGGCGCTGTGCATCCTCAGGTCTGAGCTCACTTGTGTGTATCTGTCACCGTGAATGTTTTGTGCAGTTTTGCTACAAACATCCTGTGACTGAGGTCAGGTCTTTAAATGACTGGTTCAAGGTTCATTCCATGGGCATGCCCCATTGGCGAGACTTACTTCTAGATTTAGAGATGGAACACATGTAGGTCTCACCTTTGACTATAGACTGCACCCATGCCATGCCCTCCACCCCTGCGTCTCTGACTGAGTGCAGAGCAGACCCCATGTCGTGGGTCTTCAGGGAGCTACTTACCAAACCCCACCACAGAGCATCTGCATAGGTCTCAAACTCTTCTTTCATCTCCTCTCCTTGTGCATCCACCTCAGGCACATCTTTTTCCACCAGGTAGACAAGGAATGAAGATAGAATGAGTGTCAGGAACCCGATGTACCAGGCAGTGATGAGTTCCTGGAAGAATGGACAGTGGGGGAGGGAAGGCATCACTGGGAAGACCTTGAGGTGGATTTGTGAGCCAGACACACTAGAGGTGGAGTCCAGGTTTACCAGCCCTGTGACTATTAATCTTCTGACCTCTACATCCCACCACTGCAAATTAAGATCAGGAACATAGACATTATTGCCATAATTAATTGATTGAACTGCATATGGCTCTAGGAGATGCAGCCTCTGGTCAGGGGGATTCTGATATCTCAGCTCAGGAGATGTCATGGGAAGATGAGAGGTCACAAGGAACTGGACAGTAACCCCCAAATGAAGGCTCCCATCTGTGCAGGCTGGAGAGTTTCTCTGACTATACTGAGCAAGGACAATGCTCAGAACCATGGAAAAACTGATGTCAAGGGACAGATGGGCAGAGACTCAACCCTGCCACCATCTTTCTGTAGAATCCAAGGCAAATTATCCCGTCTGTCCCATGCTTAGCATTGCCATTTGCAGATTGAAGGGACTGGCCCACTGGGATTCTACAAGTGGCACAGCATCACAGGTGGGATTCAGAATAAACAACTTTCATGTGAATCCATGTATATTGACTCAGATCATGTGAAAAGGAAATGGCACATGGCGTCTCAATATTATCGTACAATAGACAAGGCAAAAGAGTAGGTTGACAAGACTAAGTGGATTTAAAGGAAAATGCTAAGGATACTATGGGGAGGAAATAAAGTCATAAATTAATAATACTGCAAAAGCTCTGCTGGAGACATTGCTACTTCCAGCTTGAGCTTCCTTGGTTTTTCTCCTCTTCCTCCAATGTCAAGGTTTAACATGGTAAGTTGGGTGGAAAGAAAGCCAAAGTGGAGAGGAAGCCTGCTGTGCTTTCTCCTGAGGCAGCTCAGAGAACGAAGTCGATGGAATCATCGTCCCATGGCTGCACGCCTGCAGTCAGCCAGCTGACTAAAGGCAGAATCCCACTGACATGGTTGCCTCCTGCCTCTCCACGTGGGGCCTTGGCTCACATGGACTCTGCTACCCCATCTTCCCTAACCTGTCGATGGGGCCAATTCAAGAATCTGAAGATATCTTCAGGCTCATGGCATCTCCATTCTGAAACCTGATGAGATGTTTGTTCCACTAGTTAGTGAGAACTAACCACAGCTCCCACCTAGCATTTCCTGTTTCCTAAATGATACACATTGCTTGATGTTTGCTTATGATCCTTTGTTCATAGATCTGGCCTTTCGCACAGTGCCACAAGCACTGTAGCTGTCTTCATGTGGGCTCACACAGCAATAGCAAGTGAGGTTATAGAAGATTCTGGTGACCCAGCTGCCATTTCCCCTCAGCTAGGATCTGGCTGTGGGAAGTTTGAGAAGGGTGAATTTCTCCCCAGTGCTATCTGAACATGAGCTTCTTGCTTTATAGAATCAGTTCCGGCCCTGTGTTTTCTCATAGACCCCCTGGCCTCCAAATGCAAGTCAGAAGTTTCATCTGGTGCTCAACTAAAGAAACAGCTGCTGTTCGTGTGCTCACAGATAAACTGGCTGTGCTGGGTTATTAAAACATGGTGTAATGGTTGTCAACGGGGAGTGAAAATAGGTCCCAATTCTGTGCTTTGCAGTCATTACAAACACTTTTTAAGGAAATTCTGACTTTACACAACTTTTTGCCAGCAGCTCTGTGGCAGAATCCGTTTCTGCTATATCTGGGGCTAGGGGACTGGTATCTGGCCAATATGGGGGAAATGGTGGGAGCCATCCTTTTCCATCCCTTTAAGTCACTCCATTGAATATACTAGACCTTCTTCCCCTGCCTCACTGACTCAGTTTCCAAATGGATGTGGCCCACACGGCAAACATCAGACACTGTAGGAACCGGACATGAACGTTGTTGTGCTAGGTGGCAGAAACCCCAGGTTTTATTTGTTCTGGGAGTTGAACCTATGCTGATCCTAACTAGTTAAGCACCAGTATTAAAAAAAATCTAGACCTGTATAACACAGGACTAGATCAAGTACAAAACCCAACCTGGAGTGCAATGAACAAACGAAGTGAATTTGTGCATGCTTGTTCTCCAAGACCTTCTGCATCCTGCGGAAGAACTTCTTGTTGGTTCTGACAGGCCGACACATCATGAGTTCTCATAATCTACACCGTGGAGCGTAGCAAGAGCTGGACAAACCTGGATGTGACTGAGAGCTGCCCCAGAGCCTTCCCTCACTCTGACGGAGACTTCCTGCCTACAGGATGACCCTGTCTTTCCTCTGGAATAACCTGACATGCACAGGTCCCCTGCCCACCATTACACAGCAAACTGTCAGCAAACCCTAGGAGTCATTTTAGGGCTCCAGGAAAGCAAGACAAGAATCCTAAGAATCCTAAGCCAAGGATTTGGGGGCCTCCATTTCAAACAGAGCTTTCTGTCAGCTCAACCCCATGGACTCAAGATAATGGCTGAACCCAGGGGAGAGGAAAGAGACATTGTGAACATGTTCTCTGACAAAAGAGCGGATGTCAGGAGGAAGAAGGGACTCTGCACAGGAAGTCCTAACCTTGCTGTTCTTGCGGCCAGAGGCAGCAGGTTTGAGAAGTAAGGCATTCATGAAAAGAAATGGCCTCCTGAGGTGAAAGATTCCCAGGCATTTTTATCTTTTTCTTAATTTCCTTGATGTAGCCACCAGCTGCATAATGATGCTGCAGTCCCCAGGGATTGAATGTATGACGGCGATTCCAGACACTTATCAGACCTCCTGATCTCATTACCATCTTGGAAGTACAGGCTGAAATGTTTGCACAGTGACAAAGCATCTAAGGACACCTTCTTCCGAGCGTACAGCCCTGATTAAGTGGAGCCTATAAGACTGCATGTATACCCATACGATCTGTGAAGTGGAACGTATTCAGAATTATACAGAGTGACATAACTGAAGTCTTAGAGTTGGAAGATGATGGAGCTGAATTCTGAACTAAGTTGCCCTGAGATTCCCATTAGTGTGCCTTCATTGTGTTGTGGATGTGGTCTCAGAGGAATCCCCCTCCTGTCTAGCTCGTAGGTATCTGGAATGCAGGAGCCAGGAGCTAGCTGTGTGGCTGTGCACTGGGGCTCTCTGGTTGCAAGTGGTACTGACAGCAGTGTTCCTAGAAGCATCAACCAGGATTGGCACAAGAAGAGACACTCTTAGGGAGGGAGGCAGCCTTGACTTCATACTCACGAAGGTCAGCTGCCCATGGGTCCCTCCCTCCTCTTCCCTCTCCTTCACTGGCATCCACGGAAGGGCATGGGTAGATGAGAAGTTCACAGGGTCCGTGACTTCCCCACGACACTTACTTTGCTGTGGGCGCAGATGGCTGAGCCCAGGAGCTTCCAAGTGCCTCCTCTCCGGTCCATCCGCAGCATGCGCAGGATCTGCAGGAAGCGGAGGCTTCGCAGGGAGGTAGCCAGGACATTGCCCTGGTTTCCCACAGCAACTACTGGTACCGAGGCAATCAGCACGAAGATGTCTAACAGAGAGGTCAGAGAGAGCATCGGAGAACAGGGAGAAGGTCAGGTCAGGTAATTTCATCCTTTATCAGGGGACTGTGCACGCAAGAGGGGCCAATCTAAATATTGTTGTGTTTAATGTTGACATCAGTCACAGATGATTCTTCTGTGACGTATGAGAAGACAGAAGCTCTGAGCACGAATGCCTTCCCAGAGCCACACAGCCAGAGACGTCTGAGTTGGGGATGGATACAAGCCTAGCAGATTCCAATACTGTTTCTAAACACCAGAGCAGTGATTTCCTAAGTTCCTCCCACGTGCTACCTGTGCCTTACTGTCAGATGAATCAGGAAGAGGGGATCAGGGACTGCTCAAGCCACAGAGGCAAAGCCTGGCACTCAGATACTGTGTGTTAATGTGGGGTTCCCTCAAACCCATTATCCGACACAGGAATTCTACTGCAGATAATGTATTAATAGAAGACCCTGGAATGTGCATGATAGAAGAGGGAGACAGGGAAGTTAAACAAGAACCAGCAGGGGAGGAGGAGTTAGCAATGCCACTGGGTAGAAGCCACCCACGTGGAGGACGGGGGATTGGAATATCAGTCTTTGGACCCTGGTTCCCTGAAGACTGAGGTTAATTCCTGGAGTCATTGATGCCCCCATAATCCTAACACACACTGGCGTACTCAGCTCCCGGATATGTCCAGAAGGCCCCAGGATGGACCATGTAAAGATGGGGGGGGGTCCACAAGGTGGGATTCTTGTGTCAGTTGGTGATGTGGAAATATCTACCACAGCCATGGCTGCAATTAGAGGAGACCAAAGGAATGAAACACCTCCAGCAGGGATGACCGATTCATGGAGTCCCAAGGCTGAGTGTGGAGAAGAGGAAACGTGATCGCTTCTCTGTTCCCTTTAGTGGTACCCAACTGCCCGTCATCAATGCTCTTCCCACTGCCCTGCAGAAAGCACCCCATCGTAAGGCAAATTTACGGCTGGTGCCACCAACCAGGAGCCATTGCTGCTGCAGCTCTTCTTGACGTCTTCGTTATGTTAATATGCACTGTGAAGTTCAATTACGCACATGTATAACCTTTCCCTAAAGATTCCTTTTATAAAACTTTTTTTTCTCATTAAATTTTGTTTTAATGGATCTCAAAATTCTGTGACATATTTGGGGTTAAGTGCTTTCTGTTTAGAAGTACTGATTTTAAAAAGGAGTAATTTAAAACTGGCCCCTGACCCAAACAAACCAAAATATAAAACATTATCCTTCTAAAAGTTTCCTTGAGTAGTGTTTTGTTTTGTTTTTGCCAGTCCTGGGGCTTGAACTCCAGGCCTGAGCGCTGTCCCTGAGCTTCTTTTGCTCAAGGCCAGCACTCTATCATTTGAGCCACAGTGCCACTTCTGGCTTTTTCTGTTTATGTGGCACTGGGGAATCAAACCCAGGGCTTCATGCATGCTAGGCAAGCACTCTACCACTAAGCCACAGTACTGTATTTGTTAACTAGGCTTTTGCTTTTAAACTGAAACATCTCTGAGACTCTTCTTCCATTGTCGATGGAAGACTGGGTGGCAGGTATTGGGGATAATACATACTTGGGCTCCTGAGCTTTTTGGGTGAAGCTGGGGGTGCCATCATCTCCTTCAGCCTCTTGTCTTCTGTTTTGACTGACCTCCCACCAAACCCCAGCAACAGTGTGCCTTGTGTCATGAGCAGACAGTCACCTGGGTAGTGAAGCCAACTACTTCTATTTGTGGACCATTTTTCTGTCGCTGGTAACACAGCCATGATGGACATATTTGACAGATATGTTCATACCTATAGGCAGAGTTCTGTACTAATCAATATGTCTGATGATGACAGCTGTGCCTGTTAAGTGCTGCCTTTGATTTAAGGGTGGTTTTTGTGATGCTTATTATTTACTTCTATCTATCTATCTATCTATCTATTTATTTATATTTATTAGCAAACAGAGGAGGGGAAAAGAAAGCTTCCGAAAGATTTTGACCCCAGAACACCAGCATCCAAAAGGATATTAAACAAAGTATTTGCCCTGGAGACCCTAAGAAACTTCTGGAAGCAATGCATTTTTCTAAACACACTGTACAGTGCTCTCATATGTCCACCTGTCTGTATGGCCTTGTCTTAGCTTGGAACACATGTCTTAATTTAGCCATGTTTGTCAAAAATGGATCATGTCTTTTCTAAGGTGCTCCAGAATTTCCCTAGACGGATGGGGTGCTGGGAGGCTGGAACTACTATGCTTCTCAAGTTGAGGTTTCCACCATCAACCCATCTTCCCTGTATGTGGAGAGAAGGAGACAGCAAAGGAATTTAGTCATGCTCTCTCCAGCACAAGTGAGGGCTTAGACAGAACCACCCCAGAGACCTTGTGCAGCTGAGATCCAACAGCTAGGTGCTGAGAAGTCTGCAGCAGTTATCTGCAAGTTTGCACACTTGAATGTTCATACTGCAAAACCCAGATTCATTCGCCTCAGATTCTGTGGTCTATGACACTCTGTGAGGACGGCAGGTTTGGTCCAGATGGAGGCTGCCTTGAATACAAAGGTCATGATAACTATTCTCGTGTCAAGCACATGGAGAGAAGCAGTATTTTCTGCCAAGACCATTCAGGGGATGGAGCCAAGATGGATAGGGTCAGAAATGTAGTGACGCTAGAAAAGAAGGCCGAAGGACAATGTGGTCCTGGGACAAGACTTCTCCCTGCAGGGAAAGTGGGGGAGAAGGGAGGCCTGGAGCCCTATTACAGTTAGTGGACAGGGCTCTGTGGGAACACACTGTCCCAAAGGGGTCTAACCTGGAATACCAGGAAGGTGTTTCAGCTGGAGCACAATCCATCACAAAACCATCCATCCAACCCACACATATACACACAGCTTGACGTCCACATCAGAGAAGAAGGTGGGGGGAGGGAGGAGGTGGGGAGAGAGGGGATGGTAGGGGAAAAACAAAGGAGGAGGTAACAATGCTCCATAGGAAATGTACTCATTACCTTACTCATGTAACTGTAACCCCTCTGTACAGTAGCTTTACAATAAAAACATATGTATAACTAATTTTTAAAAAATGAAGCCTGAAGAATAGTGTTACCTTCACAGAGGACATCAGGAAGGAATTAAAGAGGAAGGAAAAGAAAGTGAGCAACAGACAAGGAAAGGGTGGAGAAAGAACTAAGAATAAAATGTCCTGACATGCGCACACACGCACACTTTTCATAACGTAAGTGCCAGCTGTGGTTCCTTCACAACCTAAATGGAAACCATGAGCCCTGATTCCCAATAGTTAAGGAGCTTGTCTGCTCTGTGGCAAGGGCAGCCACAGAAGCTGGAACTGCAGCACCTGGAACTGTTCTTTCGAACTCGTTCACAGCAGCCCAGAGGTTGTGTGGGCCTCCACAGGGCCACGTGAGTTCCCACAATCGCTGCTTAAAATTTCCTCAGCGAAATGGTGCATCTCACAGGCTGAAGCCATCCTTGGACTCAAAGAGCTAGAGCTTACCCAACATGCACAGGGGCTTCCTGGCAAACTTCAGCCGTCCCCGCCAGCCTTTGTATCGGCAGCAACATCCGGCGGCCCAGATCCGCAGAGCAAACTCAGCTCCAAAGATGAAAATAGCAAATGTCTCCTGCGTGCAAAAGCATATGGAGAGGATTGATTAGCTGGGGCCATTTGTCAGCGCTACAGAGCTGCTCTGAAGGTCTGAGGAGCTGTGTTCCTGCTTCCGCAGCTGCTGCTGCTGTGGTGGCTGGGGAGTCTGGAGGTCACATCTTCATGCTGATGTACTATTGGTTCTGAATACTGTTAGGCCTTTCAAAGTGACTGTCTGTTTTTTCTGGGATCGTTTTTGACTTTCTGGAAGTTCTGAGTGTTGAACTCAGGGCATTAGCATGGCAGGTAGCTACTCTACCACTTGGGTCATGACACATCCCCTTTTTTTTTTTTCACTGTTATTGTTCTTTTGAACCAAGTCTCATTTTTCATTCGGGTGGGCCTGGACAGCAATCCACCTATTTATACTTCATGCTTGGCTGTGATAATAGACAAAGGCCATTGCACTCAGCTTTTGTTTTTTGTTGTTGTTGTTGTTCAAATTGGGGCGAGGAGGTGGAAGAGGATTGTCCTAACTATTTTGTCCAGGCAGGCCTAGAGCCATAATTTCCCAATTTCAGTCTCCCAAGTTACTAGGATTAGAAGAAATAGGAGTCACCATGCCTGGCTATTCGGTTTGGTTTCAAAGTTCTCTGAAGGAGCCTTGAACAAGTAAAGTTAGTTGGAAAGAAATTTGTTCAATCTACTAATTTTGGACAGTGCCTGGTCCCTGGTATTGCTAATTATGATCAATAGTTAATCAGCTCAGCTCCTGGGTTGGGCAGTGACCCCAAATTTCAAAATATTGTATTTAAATATTGTTATAGAAATAACCAGTTTATATTTTGAGAAACCAAATCCTAGGGGCAGCTATCAGGATGCAGGGTGCTTTTGCGTGAATGTTCGGAGGACTGGGTAGCTAGCTGTACTTGGTAATAAATGTGATGGTGTTTACCTGGACTTGTATATTCGCCTTTATCTTTAATCAGTATAGCACACTCTTATCGGCAATTCCACCTGAGCCCCGGCTGACATCACCAAGTATGGAAAGCATGGCTCTTTTTCAGGCCTAAACTGGGCTGGCCAAAGTGTTAGGCAGAAATACACCCAGGGACAACTGGCCTTTTCTCATCACATGGCTGTCAGCCTAAGCCGGCCAGCAAATCTCACCAGCAGCAGTAGCCAGTCTCCAGATACCGTCTCGTACTCCTTGAACGTGGTCAGCACAGCCAGAATCAAGCAGCCCAGGACAATCAGGAACCTAGAGGAGAGGGGAAAGGTGAGGAAGGATGTTTCAGTCGAGGCTGACTCCACAGGCAAAGATCAGGAGAGCACCAGAACGAGCCTGCATCTACTACTGGACGCGGTTATGTGTTTTCTATGCCATCCCAATCCATCATCATGACAACCTGTAAGTCAGGTAGGAATTTATAGTCCTAGTTAAAGAAAACATGGTTGAGAGAGGCTAAGGAAGGAGAGTGCTTTTATTTCACCAGCTAGTTAGCAGAATAGGTCTCTTAGAAGTCAGACTGGACCTCTGGCCCCAACCAGGGGAGGAGGGTAAGGGGGTCTGTAGAGTCTTGAATGGCCAAGAGCTTACCATAGAATTTTGGAAAAACAATGAGAATATGAATACATTACAGAACTGCAACTTAAGATGTGCTGAATATGAAGAAATCAGTAGCTACTAAAGGAAACAACTTCTTTAGGTTGGGGTTATTCAGAATTGTTTTTGAAATGCTAGGAGGAAGAGGAAGCCCAGATAGCAGGGTGCCAGACACTGGCCTTCTAACAGTCACTGAGGTTGTCCATTCCTTCCTCTGTGCCAGTGTGAACCAAACTGAAAACAATTCTGAGGGGGGGGAGGGGGAAGAGATTTTTTTCAGCCAATAAAATTGGTTTTTGTACCAGGTGTCAGTGGCTGAGGCTTGTAATCCAGGCTACTCAGGAGGCTGAGATTTGAGGATCATGGTTCAAACCCCTGCTTTCACTGTATTTGATGCTGGTATAATTTGTGGAGGGGAAGGGAAAAAACAAATCGTTTAAGTAGGGATACAGGAGGACCCATTGCAACAATGAGATGTACAAGCTGTTATGTCGAAAAATGAACTTTACAACTTTGGCCGGGGGCTGGGGAGGGTGCGGGGGGTGGATGGGGTGGGAGATAGGAAGGGATGGGAAGGGGAAACAAAGGAGGAGGCAACAATGCTTGATAAGAAATGTATTCATTATCTTGCCCATGTAATTGTAACCCCCCTATACGGTATTTTCACAATTAAAAAAAAAAGTTTCAGTGGCTTAAAAAAAAAAAAAGCCAGGCAGTAAAGCTAGTGAAACCCCGCTCTCCAATTAACTACCAAAAAAAGCCAAAAGTGGCTCAAGTGGTAGAGCGCTAGCCTTGAGCACCAAAGTTCAGGACAGCACACAGGTACAGAGTTCAAGCCCAGGATCTGTGTGTGCGCGCGCGTACACACACACACACACACACACACACACACACACACAGAGTTTTGCTTCTGATGAAATATCTGGTTCAGTAGTAGTGTCAGGACCCCTAGATGTCTGAGGGACTGGACTAGCCAGCATCTATGGGTGAGGGCTTGGCACTCCAAGCCTTCCTATTCCAGGTAACAACTCGTGCTAATAGTTTTCAATCCATGCTTCTTTCGTGTTTTCTAATTCTAAGTACCTATGTGTATAGTTGTACTAAATTATATTTAATCACATTATAGATGCTATAATACACATATTATTTATACGTATCTGTGGTAGACACAGAGACTAGAGCTGGAATTCAGTGATGGCTGACCGCACAAGTCCGACCCAGCAGAAAGCTGCCTCACGGCGCAAGGCCAGGGCTGGGCCGTAGGGAAATCCTGCTCCTGGTCTTGTCTGGGACCCAAGTCCTGGCCTGGGTTCTTGGTAATCACGAGCACATTTTATGATCAATAGACCTGTGGACTTGCAGGCCTGAAGATCTAAGTTTTTAACCTTGCTTAGGAATTTAACCAAGATCTCTAAGTTCGTCCTGTGTTTGAACATTTTATTCAGATTGAGAGACTCTGATCCATGCCTGGAATCTGCCTAATCTGGGTCCCGGGTTCTCTTCTCAAGCCAGAGTGGTGCTGATGATGAGGGTATCAGCAGAGACGGTAGTGGTGGTAGGGATGATAATGAGGTGATGATGTGGGTAACGATGGTGGTGATGATGATAATCATTGCGATGCTGATAATGGTAATGGTTGTGGTGGTGATGATAATGGCAGTGGCAATGATGATAAAATGATGGTGCTGACGATGGTGTGACTGAGGGTAGTGATGGTGATAATGATCATGGTGCTGGCAATGATGCTAACTGTGATGGCTGTGAGGATGGTGTTGTGATGGTGTTGAATATGATGGTGATGGGGTTGGTGGTGATGGTGATGGTGATGATGATAATGGTATGATGACAGACAGAACATCGATCCCACCATTACCACAGTCAGCACCAACTACCTGCTGCTTCATATTTACCATCTCCTCAGCCTCCAGACAACCTGCCAAGGTAGATATGATCATTCTCACACTAAAAGACGTATAAGAACCATATTAACTAAAATGTCACGGTCTTGATTTCACAATGCAAGCCACAGACCTCAGTCAGGTGAGAGGTGCTGCCACTGGTTGACATAAAACTAGAAATGGAGTCCAGGGCTAGGTCAACATACAAGGAGGTGGGAAGTTTGGGGTAAACTTATTGAGCATGAATAGGATCATTTAGCCAGCCTCTGAGATCTTCCCTGGCTCGTGTGTGTGTGTGTGTGTGTGTGTGTGTGTGTGTGTGTGCACGCGCACGCGCGTGCAACACTCAGAGAGACTCTACAAGGCACACATGGCAGGCATATTCGGTATGAGCCTGGAGTCATGCTTCAGGGGACCCCCACCCCTGAGCACAAGCAGACCCCGTGACTTACTTACTTCTGACAACAGAACAGTGCAAACATGGTAGCCCTAACTCCTTTACTTAGTTTGTTGTATGGCAAAGACCACGGGATGGCCACATCTGTGCATCTGTGACAGTGACACATCATCCACTGTCTTGGAAAGGGCTACCCTGCCGTGAAGGGGCTGCAGGGGTTCATGTCAAGGGGCTGCAGCAGCTTCTGGGACCAGGGAGCTCTCCAGCGGCTGGCAGCAAGAAAGTGGGGCCCTTCCTACAACTGCAAGGAGCGGCCATCATGAGAGCTTGGAGGATGATTTCAAGGAAAGAACGCAGCCCAGCTAGCACCTCACCTCTGTGAGGCCCAACGCATGAGATCTAGTCATGATGCTCACAAAGTGGGAGATAAAGAAGTCTATATCACTGCCTGCCATTCAGTGATCACTTGCTGTGCAGTGATGGGAAGCTCGCATGGAGTGGACTAGGACCCATGTGTCCAGTCTCACAAAGGAAGGGTAACCATGTGATGCAGGGGCTGTAACTATAGCAGCTGGTTGGTGAAACTTGCTCCAGGAGAGAAGATGCTAGGTCAATATTTCTCTGTTTCCAGAGACTAGCTCAGGCAAGTCACAGGAAGCCATAGTGTTTAATGAATGGATAAAAGCCATTTCAGCCTTCATGTTACAACTCATGCCTGGGATCCTAGTTACCTTCGAGGTGAAGATCAGGAAGATCACAGTTCGAGGTCAGCATAGGCAGAATTCCACAACATCATCCCAAGAAGCAAAACTAAGTGTGGTATGTATACCTGTAATCCCAGCTATACAGAAACATAGGTAGGCGGATGGTAGTTTCAGGCCAGCCTGGGTGAAAAGTGAGACTGTATCTGGAAAGATAACCCTAAAGCAAAAAGGGCTGTAGACAAGGCCTCAAAAGCACAGAACCCTGTGTTCAAACTCCAATACCACCAAAAGGAAAACGAAGCAATTTTACAAGTCAGTCATTGTCCCATTGTTGGAACTGAAGGCATATAAGATAGGGGAAATGTAGGACAATTTCCTTGAAAAATGAAGAGTTCACATCTAGTGCTGCAGAAGACCTTACATATATTTACATTGTGTGTATGCATACACACACATAATATCTCTAAACTGTCCTCTTCCCTTATCTATGGGTTTGCTTTTTGTGATTTCAGTTATGTATGGTCAACAATGGTCTGAAAATACCAAATGGGAAATGTCCCAAGCAAGCAATTCCTAAGTTTGGAATCATTTTATTGTCATTATTATTTATTTCTGTGACTCAATTGCCACTTAACCTTTATGTCACACACTCAGTATGTCTAGATTCTTTCTACCACTTGAGGAATTCACAGATCCTTTTGGAGTGTATCACACACAGACAGTAAGTTCCTATGATCCATGTCTTCATCTTCAGTTCTATCTGCATCCATCTAACAAAGACAGCTCTCCACAGGCAGTGGTCAGGGGCTGAAGAGAGAGGAAGAGGATGGACTGGAGCCATGATCGAGATCCCATATGCCTTCATCAGCCACAGAGCAGCAGGGAGGACGCAGAAACAGGATATAGCCAGGAGGGGGCAGCAAACACCCATCATAGCTCTGTGTTCCCTTACCCTTGCAGCATAGAGCTACTTTTAGAGACCAGTCATTCAGCTATAAAGCTCGGATCTAAGAAGCCACCTTTACCCTGAGAGGAGAAACACACCTTAGTTCCTTGCAAATATCAATGTATCCTTAAAATAGGAATTGATTCCAGATATATTTGTCAGTCCCCTCAACAGAACCCAGATATGTGGCTGCACCTGGTGTGCTGTTAGGCAGGTCTTCCTCCTCCTCCTCCTCTTCTGTCTTGATTCTCTTCCTTTCCATGCATTACCAACTTCCTTCTGTTCCTTACCTTGTCATCTGTCACTTCGGTTTCCACGTCTACTTGATCACTTCCTTCCCTCTGTCTCATGTCACCTACTCCCTGGCCAGTTCTACTTTTCCCCTCCCTTTTTCTTTGCCCTCCTCTCTCATTTCTCTGCTCCGTGTCCACCTTTTCTCCCTCACTTCTGCAGCCTATCTGTTTGAGGAAGGGTGTGCATGTCCAGCTCACTTGGGAAAAGCCAACTCAGCGCTCTGTCCACAACACCCTGGCTGTGTTTGCAGTCAGGGCCCACAGTCTCTCACATGCCCTTAAATCGCTGTTTACTGTCCACTCAGCACTCTTTCCTCTTCCTGTGCCAGCCTCCAAACACACCAGGCTGGGGTGCAGAGAGGGTGGGAAGGAAAACCAGGAAAGCTGCTTCAAGCTGCACATGCCTCTAAAGTATAA